GCGTATCACAGTGTGCGCGATTAATTTTAACTCCTCGGAGCGGACGCATCGGCTCATTACTTTCGGCCAAGTCTGGGAGTAACTTTAGCTGGCTTCGTCGAAGCCCCTTTGAGGCCTCCCCCTTCATCTTCTCTCTCTCTCTCTCATCTTGTGACGCCATCTTTTATTGCGAGAAGAGCGGCCGGCTACTCTCCTCATCTGTATATTGGTGATCGAGCGGTTACGTAGTCCTTCGATTTACTGTAGAGACGTTTCGGCATCCGTAGAATGAGGCGTCGTTAACCGAGAGAAGCACGGTTGGCGTTTTCTCATGACTTCAGATGTACGTGAAGCGAGCATAGGTATACAGCTATATACTATATAACGTTTCCAGAAAGTTCATTCAAATCACGGTGCTTCGTCGACATACTTGCAATGCACGTATTAGAATGGACGCTTGGGCAAGTTGGGGATTCATTGCAGGCGGAAACAGCGCTAGAAAAGACCAGGACAAGAAAAGTAGACACACAGGAGACCAAGGGAAAACAAAACAAAGCAGCTTCATTAGTCATCTTCTTTCTTTTTTTGTGTCCCTCGTTGTCCTTGTCATTATTTTTTTTTTGCGCCGTTTTTGTTTGCATGAAACCTTGCTGCATGTTTTTTTTTTTCTCTTTTACATGTTTACCGTATTTTTTAAAGAATATTTGCAAACGCGTTGCGTTTTTTGGAAAGCGAGTGTACTAAATTTAAGTTTTTTTAGGGGGGGGGGGAGGGGGGATATTTTGTAAAGGAGCCTTTCATTGACCTTGAACGCCTTAAAAACGTAACTGGGGGACAGCTAGAACCTGATGAATTAAGTACAGTGCCTTCATACAGACACGCGCTTTTTTTCTTTTAGTGGTCCATCTCAACCATTTTTCACCCATTTGTTCTTTTTTTGTTTTTGTTTTTTAGTACGCGCAATTTGGTGTGCGTGCTCGAGCGCGTAGCCTCGACTAATGCTTAGACGTCATTTTACCGCACAAATCACGCACTCACTGCGCCAGCTCGTTCCGCGCTGGTCCACTCAATGCAACAAAAGATGCCTTCACCCTGAGACAGAAGTGTGGGCACCCCAGGCACGTAGCCAGGGGGAGAGGGGGGGGGGGGGGGGCATGAGGTTCGGGGCCCCCCCAAAAATTTTTCATTTTGCTGGGACTTCCTCTCCTCCCTCCCACTCATACAAAATTTGTCATGGGCGCCCCCCCCCCCCCCCCCCCCCCCCCCTCCCCCGAAACAAAATCCTGGCTACGTGCCTGAGGCACCCTATGATGAAACGTCTTCCTCTTTTATTTTTTTTTTTTAATGCTCAATGTGAGGTTACCCAACACGCGTCGATATGTGCACGAGAGGTTTCATCGGGCATGCACTGCATGGTGATTAAGTATTCTGCTCTAAAGCAGGGGTCCCACTGCTCATACATCCTACAAAAGACGGTCTGTAAACACGAATCACCCCAATATCCGTAGTTCGAATCCACGTGGCATTCGAAGCACGGATCTCGCGGTGACTGGCGTTCGAATCTGTGTGCAGACTGTGTTCTGTACTTGCTTCTGTACGACGTAGTAGCAGTGTGACCACCGGCTTACACTACCTTTGTGCCGTAACGTGGTGGGGAAGTGAAGGTTATTCTACTCCTAAAATGCTTATTATTGCAGAAAAAGAAAAGAAAAAATATTACAGTTTAAGCAACATTAAAAACATATTGTTTGTAGATACCGTAGATTCGTAAGAGTTTCTAGCAACAGGTTTGTGTTGAATGGGCTGCAACGCTAACAAATGCATCACTCAGATCGCCGAAATAGGAAGTTGGGCGACTTGTATGTTTGCCCTAACATCCTTCTCTGCACCACCGCGCGCATATTAAAAAAAGAAAGAAAGAGCGAAAAAGAAAGTGACATTTGACATCAAGATGAACTTAAAGAAATACCCGTAGGATTAGTGATGCTAACCCGCTCTAGGCGATCTTAACCAGCTCACGGGAGACTATTAATAACCTGGCAACCGCCCGCACAAACCCAGCTCGGGTGGTGGCGTGCGGTGAAGGTGACATTGCTGAGCTGCTCCGACTCATTCATCAAAGCAGGCTTCTCCCAACGTTTCGCACAAAAGCCGCCAGGGTCGTCAGAATCAGGCGTCGACGCTTCCTAACCATGCTACCAGACCACCACAACGCCGTGCCTCTCGCATGTGCGCCCTTCAGCGCGGGCGTAGCTCGCCGTCGCTTTTAAAAGTGAGGCCTGCTTCCGAGACGTCATTAGCAAACAACTCTATCGCATGCGTATGCGCCGTAAACAGAACAACAACGGTCGGTGCAGAACAATACCAACAACAACAACGGCGGAGGGGGGCATTGTTTATGGGGGGCAGAAATGCGTGAGCGGTATTTGGTGCGGGGGCCTCCCACAGGGCGCCCCGTGTTTGCAGCAGCCCCCGGTTAGGAACGAGGTCCCTGCTGAAGGGGCTCACGGTTCAGGAGTTCGTAAACCGCGGACTCGTCTTTTGTCTTCTCCGCTCTCGTGTGTCGCACATCCGGGACTGCTGTTCCTCGCCGGACAGGGCGCTGGAAGCCAGCGGAATCCGGAGGGACTCTTCCTTCCGGTTCAGAGAGTTATTTCACCAGGGGACGAAAGTTTTGAAGAAGCTTTTTTGTCTGTCCAAAACAATTTACTCCTTTTTTTTTCTGTTAAAGCTTTCGGTTCCATCTGTTTAGTTGATACGGTTTTACTCAGGGAAGCAGATAGGAGGTTTATGACCGGAAGGAGGGCACAGCATTGCGGACACAAAGCACAGACGTAACGGCTCTAATTGATGAATTCACAGCGTTATAACCTTTTTTGGGGGTTAAAAAACTGATGACATTAAACCGGAACTCCAAGCACGAAGATGTCAAACATCTGAGCATTTATCGTAGCTCCATGTACGCTGTCTGCGATGTGCACCTGCGCCTAAGCCTCGCTTTAGTTGGCTCCTCAGAAGTAGCTTTTGGGGGAGCCTACATATAAGGACAGCCATTACGTCCAAGGGTTTCTTATTCATTCCGCTGACACGGTTTCTAATCCAGTTGCGGAACTGTAACGACCACGTACCAAAAAAAAAAAAAAAAAAACACGTTGGCAGAATGTGCGCGATTTCCTTCGAACACGATTTTCGTGAAGCGTGCGTTGGCCTATGAAGTAAAAAAAAAAAAAAATTGGAGTTCTCGCCGAAAAAAAAAAGTTTCGAAGACAAGTTCGTTAGGGCAGATTTGATCTCGTATGCGAGCGACGGCGTCGACGGAGCTGCTCGCCGCAGATCAGAAATCAGAGAGCGTCAAATTTTCTACTCTCAAAGCTCCCACATACCACATTCTTTTCTCCCCACTCTTCACACACGCACAAATAAAAAAGATAAGTTGGCGAAGGAAGACCAAAAGCGAGCAAGGAAGAAGGCCTAGAGGAACGGCGCTCATTACGTATGCAAACTCGATTTGTAATTCCCACCGAAAACATTAATGGATTGAATTCTTCTCTGCACATTATCGGAGCTGCGGCAAGCAGCAGGGCGTATCCTTTATGCCCGTGGCCGCGTCGCCTTTGTCCTTTGGGTGCTTTTTGGCTCCTCGGCGGGTGGATGGGAGGGCCTCTTCTGCTCCGTCCGGGCGCTCCTAGTCGTCGTCGTCTCACGCGTCGCCGAGTTCCGAGTACCGTACGAAATCGGCAATGGGCCGCGACGTCCCGTGCCTTCGGGGCGCGCACGTTTGGGGAAACCGTTTTTCTCTTTTTTTTTTTTTTCCCCTTACACGTTTGGAAACAATCCTGAGTACGCCGCTCGCTTTCTCTCTTAGAGCGCGCTCCGAAAAGAAATTAGCGGCGCGTTTATTTTTGTTCCACTCGAACTTTCTTTCCGTTCTGTTGCCGGGTAATATCGGGAGCTCTTTGTTCCTATTGCCTCCCCACTCCCGCGCGATTATTCCGGCACTTCGGTCGTCGCTGGCTCTTGTTCTCGGGTTCACGCCGCGCAAATGCGTAGTTAAAACTTTTACGAGCGCGGCTGGGCGCCCTCGTCGTCCTCGCCGCGTTCGGATGGGCAAAAGCGTGCGGAAGGAATGACCCTAGCCCTTGAAATGACTCACCAGAGAGGTCAGCCACGTTATTGTAACGGTTATGCGTCTTTCTTTCTTTCCTTTCTGAAGAGCATAATGTAATGACAAGCTGTTTCCACCATACCGACTTTCTCTAACGCCTGTTTGGCGCTTGTTTCAAACATGTGTTTCGTACCGGTTGCTTTCCGCCTAAAGGCTGGTTTAGACATCGGCGCTTGAGAGTGATCGAGTGCGGCTGCCTAAAGGCTGAGCATATGCTTCGGTTCTTAACCTGTTATCAACAGTAGGTTCTTCACGAAATGAATACCTAACTCGTGCGGCGGTTTTACTTTTCCGAAACTTCCTCACCAGTGTGTGGGAATCTCTGAACGCGCACTGAAGAAGGGTCGTAATGCGCAGCATACTGTATATCTTGCGAGGCCGTGGGTTTTGAAGGTGGCTGTGTTCAGTTTGTCACGGTTCCGGTGGCGTACGACATTGATACTGTGGAACGTGTCTATGGCTGATGTTGGTACGATCGCCCTTCTCTCGGCTCTTGCATTGTGCTTCATCGATGCCTTCTGCTTCGCAATACGGAACAAACGCGTGAAATCACTGCCATCTTTGAGCCTTGCGTGGTTCTCCGAGTGTTGGAAACATTTCTGCCGATGGCGAAACAAATTGGCCACGTTTATACGATTGCCGCCTGAAACACCCTTGTCTCGTTGATGACATAAATGGGAAATTACGCATCGCCATAGTGTCTTCCTCATTTCGAGCGAAAAACTAGATTCCATTCAAAAAACAAACAATTCAACAAAAAAAAAACCGAGTGATTTGTTTGAACTTTTGTTTGCGTTCTGAGGATACGGTGATGGTCCCGCGTGTCTGACCTCGGGCGCCTTGTTCTGCTCTGCAGCACCCTGCCCGTCCGGCCTGGAGCCTCGGGCTATGCGACCTCTTCCCAGTGAAGATCACAGCGTCCGAGAAGACTCCGTACCGGACATTCGACGACAAGGTACGTGCCTCTGCCCAGCCTCTCTTCCTCCTGGCTCCATCTATGCGATTCCGCGGTGGCGTGCCCATTGCGTAGAAACCATGGGGATTGAGACGCGACTCCGACCGGTGGTGCGGTTGCCGCGTCCCTATTTAGGGCCCTTTCATTTACGCCTGATGACGTCAAAGAAGCGTCGTGTCGTTGACTGCCGCGCTCCTGGCGGTGTCACAGCGCCGCGGGTAGACGCGGCGGACGCCTAACCCTGCTGCAGGTCGTTCTACAGCTTGGCAGCACACGGTGGCCTCAGCAGTCACGGGTTGGGACGCCGCGGCGACAGCGACTCTCGCGTTCGCTCCTACTTCGGAAACTTCTACGATCAACCGCCAGGGTCGCGACATCCGACAGCACGACACGCCGACTTCTGTGTGACGTAATTTGTCGCGACTTCAGGACCACTTTCGATTCGTTTACGATAGAGGACAGCAAAGTCGCCAACCGAAGACGCTTTCCAGGCACCGAATAGAAGAGAAAATGTTAAGTTTAAGGTGTGATTCCCGTCCGCATAACTGTGCTTCCTACCGTGCAAGAATGTATACCGCGAAAAAAAATGTATATATAAAACGGTAAAAAACGATCTTGTAATCGGGTAAAACCGTTTACAGAACAACGTGGCGAAAGAAAAAAGTGAATTCGAAGCGCAAGTCTTTTTGTGTCCGTATTAAGAAGGGAGCAAAAACAAAAAAGAAAAAAAGAAAAGCAAATGAAACGTTCGAGGAGTATAGCGTTTAGCGAATCCCCCCCAACGACTAGAGCACGCCCGCATTTATGCTCGTCGTCAGAAATATGCGCAAAAATAGAAAGACAGAACACGACCGAAATCGGCAGGAAGTTTTCGGCACTTCAAAAAAGACGTGAGCTGCAGTCGAAAAGAGATCTTAAAAGCGCGCTCGTACGCGCCCCATTGCGTCTCGAACGGGAAACTTTTTTCGCGCTAATCTCCGTCCCCGCATGGGCGCAGATCACCTGCGAAGGCTCGCGATGATGTGGCGAGTACGCTTAATGCACAACCATTCCGATGCGCGCTCGTCGCCACCCGCCGTATCTCGGAGTGTGCTCGACGCTGTTATTACGTTTTCCTTCTCCAACTCGAGGGCGAAGCTGCCCCCTGTCTCCCACTCGAACGTTGCTGCCGAATAGCGACAAAGGAGAAAGAAGAAAGAAGAGAAGCGCGTTGTCAACATTTTCCCCAAACGAGACTCCATACCTCCAGAGGCGGCCGACACGTCCGACCCGGCACCGCTAAGAGCAAGAATTAACGGGCGCTAAGGACGTTAAAGAAGAACCCGCTGCGCCTTGCCCCCGAGACAGATCGTCGTCATCCCCGCGTTCTGCTGCTCTTATTCGACCTCTCCGTTCATCGTATACTTTTTTTGTCTTTTTTGATTCGGTTTTCTAGCGCCGTTTCTTGTCCGTGCCGTACTCGGGCTGCGTGCGCTGTGTGCGTGCGCGTGTGTGTGTACACTAAGCGGCGGTACGGTGCGAGAGTCCGCGTGGTGGGGGCGGAGACGAGATTTTTCTCGAACGATCGTCACCCCTTATTTATAAACATAATTTGGCGGCGGCGCCTCCGCCGAATGCAAACAGCGTGCCCAGATAAACGCTCGCGCGGCTGCTCGGGGTGGGAGTGAACGCGGGCGTCGGTCGGTCGGTCGTTCGTCGCTCGCGCAACCGCTGGGCTCAAATGAGCCGGCAAATTATTCGGCACCGGCAGAGAGCCCCACCGGCAACAACGAGAACAACAACAACAGCGACCGTAAGGGGGCGATTCCGAACTCTGTCTGGTGGTGCTCTCCTTGTTTCCGTCTCCCTCGGTTCGTTTGTTCGCGTTTTGCTCGAAGGCGGATCAAGCGGATGGCACGGCCCGGCGTCTCTTCTCTCGAATGCATACGGCGTGGATGGTGCGCATCTAATAAAATGGACACACGCTAAACGTCATCGCGAGTATCGCTGTCTTAGTAGTTACCTTGAGTGGCCGGTTAGCACGACGTGTCATCGCTAGCTGCAGCTGATCGCGCTGATGGCAACCTGCCCATTTACGGAGCTGCCCACGGACCATATCGTGCATGCCAAATGTCGAGAGCGGTTCTTCTCGATCTTCCTTCGCAATTCTGTCTGCTCGCTTCATTGCGGCGCACGTTTCCACCCGCTCTTCGTACGCGCGTTCCCGATCTTGTTTTCCTTTTTTTCTTCTTTTTCGAGCGCTCGAGACAGCCAGGTTTACGAGGCCGATACCCACGTTTGTTGTTAGTCATTACGTCGAAGGAAGGCTTTCTCTGCGCGTCCGCGAAGTTCTGTATACCGGGTGTTGAAAGGATGAATGAACGGTGAATGGAAGTTCCATATGTGCGGGGGCACGTATCTCTCCCTCCGAGGACCGAGCGTTGAAGGACGGATAGCGAACGTTGTGTCGCAACTGTTCGGACTCAAGCCGTAGCTGAAGTCCCGCTGCGACCTCGGAGATCACCGGGGCCTCTCCCCTCGTCCCTCTTCAGTTCATCGCAGCAGCGCGAGACGGCAGGAAATTAAAAGCGGCGATATTTCAAGCCCATACCGAGATCGGCGCTCCACAGTCTCTTCGTGGAAAGGGGGGCCCATAGAACCGTCGGCCGCCCCTTTAACCTCGCGGCCTGCGTCCGCAGTTGGTGCGTCGCGGCGCAGAAAGCGGCCGTGAATGGCGGCGCCCCGGCGGACAAGACGCGCTCAGAATGCGCCCCTAACGACCTTCGACCAACAATATGTCCGGATGTCGCCAGAAGACGACCCCCCCCCCTCGAGCCGCCATCTGAATCGGGCGCAGGGTCCCCCCAAGACAAAACCAAATGAGCTCCATTGACGACGGCATAAGTGCGGTTCGCTCGCGCTGGCTTCAGCACCCCCGTCCAGCTGATTGGGTCGGCGGATGCTTTTGCTGTCGCTGGCCTTGCCGCTCTCCTGATGACCGCGGACGAAGCCGGGAATCGAGCAGCCTTTAGCTTTTCACGGCAGACGCCGCTCAATGACAAACGTCCCGGAGCGCCGCCCCCACGCTCCTTGTTGGGGTCTTTCTTTCAAGCGCCACCAATATCCCCGGACGGCCTCGTCCGCCATTGTCCACCTCCGTGCAGGCTCCTCGGGCTTCCTACGCCATTACCTAGCGCCATTGAACGCAGGAAGAGTCGGCTATTAAGCTCCCTGCGGACTGACACGCTTTGATGGAGTTTGTTGCGGAGGAGGTTCGGTCCGGGCCATTTTAACTTCGCAGATCAAATCTGAAGCAATGTTTGAGACTGGTTCGTTCTACCTTTCCTATTTCTATTTAAAACCCGGCAGTATATAAGTACTCTCGCGTTGGTTTTTTCTCTGTGCGGGGACGAATGGCAGGCATTGCGCGGTACGCGTGTCAGTTTCTTTTTTTTATCTCAGTCTGTGTTATGCCGGTAGTGAGCGGGTTGTCCCCGGATAACTTATCTAGGGGCTCGTATGGAGTAAGTTCTCATCTGGCGCTGAAACAACAGCCGATCCATCAGAGATTTCTCGACTCTTTTTTTTTTAAGTGAGTTTTACTTGTTTTTTAGACGGAAATCCTTCGATGAGATAACCTTACCGCTGACGTTTTCATAGACCGTACACCAGTTTTACATTTCAGAAACCTTGGCAGAAGAGTGATCTCGTTTCCAGATAAACCGAGAAGCATAAGTCCGAATGTGGAAAGAGACTATGAGGTCGTAGTTAGATATGGCGATGACGCCTGAAAGAGGTCTATAAAGAGAACTGGTTTAGCATTCCCCCATATATGTGAGAGAGGGTGGAGAGACAGAGAGGGTGTGTGTAAGACTGTGGGAAGTTTTCTGCCCTTGTGCATATCTGCTTTTGAAAATTGTTTTGCAGCCCCCATAATTGCTATGCCTACAGTTTCCGACTGTCAGACAAAAATTGTCTAGAAGTGTAGTTCTTCTCTCATTGCGACGTCTGATGCAGATGAAAGGCATAGTAGCGATCAAACTTAGGGCATCCTTTGCAGGGATGGAACACACCCTCTGGAGAGAGGGGCTCGCAGCACCATTTTCCATAACACCATTTTCTAGTACATTACAATATAACGAGCCGTTGAGATTAACAAACCATCGGTGCAGGGAAAGACGATCTCGGTTGACTGGTGAGAGTGGGCGACGTAAATAGATGCCTAAATGAAAAAAACTTCGTCCTATTTATACCCAGTTTAAACGTTAACCAGGGGAGGAAACGTTGTGTCCGCCGGATCAACCGGCGCAGAACTTCAAGAAGCGCGTCGAGAGTTGGCCCCAACCGGCATCCAGTAGCAGACGGTCGGAAGAGTTGGGGCGAAGCCGCCATCGCAACAGGAAAACCAGGAGGAGCGGTGCTCGGGCGGCCGATCGCCGTCTCGGTCGACCAACTTCTCCGCAGGAGCGAGCGATGATGTGCTCCAGGGAGCAGCGCTGGATGCGACGACCGGCCGCTGCTACCGATCCCGGCCAAGCAGGAAGGGGGGCCCCGCGGTTCATGCAAATGAGCATTCGGGGTGGCGGCGGGGCTTCCTGGTGGTTCGGCCGACCTTGACACGGCCTGCTCCGGAATGTCGCGCACCTTGTTCGACACCTCCTGGCAGGGGGCAAGGAGCCGTCGCGGCTTCCGAGTGGTGGACGTCTTTCCCGCCGTCTCCCCGTGTGTACCCGGTCTCTTCGAACATGCGGCGGATGACTCGGGTATGCGAATGCGCTTGGGAACTATGCGACGAAAAAAGAAACTCGGGGTCGAGATTTATTCCAGCTATGTTCATGAAAATTCAGTCTGTGGAAAGTCTTACCGAATCGTCCTTGCCCTTCGTTCTGGTCATGACCTTCTCCAAGCGTAGAAAGTGTGATCTTATCTTTATTGTTTCTTTCTTTAAAAAGGTTTCGTAGATTCAGCATAAATGAGCAACTGGCCGTGACTTCTTCGTGTTATTCGATTAATTTTTATCA